TGACATAGGTTTTGAAACTATGCTTTAATCTTAGACTAGTTTTGATATGTCAAAATAGTTTTGGAAACCAACACTAACTTAGGCGTGAAACTTCTTTCACCTTATGTTGTGGCATCTTCTTTTGTCCAAATCGTAGTATTGTAGTGGAAATTTCAGCATTAAGATCCTCATCCTGATTGTATACAGTTTAGTAACAGGTGTTTGGCTATTATAGATTTTTATAAATATTGCTATGGTATCATTGCAATATATATATGTATAATAGATACAACCCATCACTAACTAATACTAATATGTTACAGTTCCTTAAAAATCAATTTTGAAAAATGAAATTTTAAACCCAATCATTAAACACTCCTAATACTGTTTCAACATTTGAAATATTGAAGATACCACCAATATTAGGAGAGATCATTTACAGGTTCCTTAAGAACCTGGATGCAACTTTGGTGTACATATCCCAACCCATAAAAACCTTTTTTGTGGATGACCCAAAAATAATCCTTTTTTAAAACACAAAACCAAATATATGTAAGTTTACTACATTAAATTGGATTTGATTTATAAGAGAAAGTAGTGAATTTATGCTAACCTTCATCAGAAAGCTTATCTATTATGTTATAATACTCATGTGATTAGGTAAACCCAATAAACCACCTGAAATATTATTAAAATATATGTTGTCACTAAATCAATGCTACTCCTTTATAAACTGTAACTGAAGAACTAATATATAAATTACCTCATTAAGGAAATGGCACAACTATCTTCAGATTAATGGATTGGAGTATGTAAAAATCGGCTCCCCCGACTTTCCATTGCATCGATTCTTGAGGTAATCAACCGATGAGGTTAGATAAATCTAATTTTATTTCACTTTTAACATATTATGGACGAAAAGTAGTTTTGCCCTATAAAAAATTATTGACTGAAAATGTACGGGAAAACAGTACATGAACCGTATTGTTTTGCGGAATAGGTACGGGAAATGCACGGGAAATGTACGGAATCTCCCTCTTAAATGCGCCGAAATGTACGGAAATTGTACGTGTTTCGTGTGCATTCCGTAACTACTCCGTATCTATCCCACACAAATTCCGCACATTTCGGCGCATTTAACAGGAAGATTACGTGAATTTTTCCGTACCTATTCCGTAAAACAATACGGTTTTCCCGTATGTTATTTTTTATAAGACTGGTTGTTATTATTATTAGATTAGAAAATAGTAGGTTTGGTTCTAAATAAGCAGAGTGCAAAAATTAGAATACCAGGAACTGTCAAGTAGTGTTTAGCCTAAGCTCTGAACGATTCGATTCGACTTGAATCAAACCGAATTCCTAAATCTTTTTTTAATGTCATATTACACATTAGTGTTGGTTTCCAAAACTATTTTGACATATCAAAACTAGTCTAAGATTAAAGCATAGTTTCAAAACCTATGTC